AGGGCACCTATTGAGAATATGAATATCACATTGGAGAAATGAGGGACCTTGCATGGTAATTGGGCTACTTTTCTTATTGTTAATTAGTTTTATGGTGAAATCACAGCTTACGTTGCTAGGAAAAAATGGGAAACCCTTCAAATCTTCACTCTCCCATATATGTGCAATTCTCATAAGAATGTAACTTACGCGGGATTGATTTGCAAAATTGGAACGTTTTACTCCATGAAAAATTATGAAATTTAGACACAATGACCTTCAACCTCTTAGCTTCCTTCTCTAGTTCTTCGAAAAGTCAATTTATCATAAAATAAACATCCTAAGTGTGTAGATTGGCTAAAATTGAGAAAAGGAAAATACTAAAGCTCTTTATAATTCACTTTCTTAACAAAATTTATAATAATTGACATGAAAATATAGAAGATAATACACCTATATATATGCTATATAGTTTAAAGTATAATCCTACCATACCACATTTGATATTAAAAGCCAATTTTGGTTTTGTGTACGTACATAGTAGCGTAACGAGGGAACTTGTGCTCCTGCTCATAGCTCATAGGACCATCACCAGTATTATTTTAATTGCAATTTTCCTCAAATCAGCACCGCCACTAGAAATTCAGAAAAATGTCTAGTTGAGGGCGTCTATAATATTTAAAGCTCCAACTGCAAAAAAGCATCATAAGCACGTAGCTAGAAATGTATTATAATAACAACTCAAAGCTTCAGTATGGTGTCGAAGCAACAACTAAGGCCACCGGTGTACGTTACATCAGTAATACATCAATGAGCGGTCACATTCATCCATGCATGCGCCAAATTGCCCCTAACATCTTAGCTCAATAATATCATCGTGTGTGTATATATATATATATATAATTTACTACCTCATGCATCAATAACTTACAATTATATTCATACACACACATGAGAGTTTGATAATAATATCTAACAATTTACAGTTACTTACATAGGTGTAAGCGTTTAATATTAATATTTTTATATTATATATTAGTCATTAAAAGCCATTGTACACAAAACTTTGTCTCCTAATTAATCGTGGGGCCTTGTGTCAGGCATTGATAGAAGAAGGGGCAGTGGAGTTGGTGGTGCCTGGAAACTTGCCAATTGGGTGTTTAGCCGCATGGACTTTGTTGCAAACCCCCAATTGGATCGGCAGCCTGTAGAGATCATACCCAAACTGGGATGGTATTCACTTCACAGAAGCAGCTATCGCTACATTCCCAAGGGCTTGATCCATGGCCAATTTACCAAACCCATATAGCTTGTATTTGATCAGCTACTTTGCTTTTATCCTATAATCATTATTGTTTTGATAAATAAAGAACGAGGCATTTTAACTTTGAGATTTCTTCCAAAATTTAAAAAAGAGTCATCCATGTCCATTTTACCACACCCCTCTACCTTGTATGATGGTTAGTTACTGCGTTAGACAATTAGAGATGTTACAGTGTCAATATTTAATCGGTATGTCAATAAGAAGATTAGCCAAATATAAAGTCAAAATCAAGAAAGTATAAACACTAAATATGTCATGTTTTCGCCTTTGAGTCATCAAATAACTAACATAAATGGTTAACCTCTCACTTTATTGCAAACATTAATCAGCATTGTCCTGATGAGTATTGTAAACACAAGAAACATAATTCCATGATAGTCTGTTTTTAGGTATACAATTAATCTAGTTATCTACCTACAACTAGATCAATCAGTACTCTGTAAAACCCATTTCTTTCACATTTAAAAGTTTCCAGAGACTGAACCACAAGGACATGTTTCTCGTTGTGCAATTTCCATTTCTCGGTTTGCTACTTTGCTAACCACATATGGTATGTTTGACGGTTAAAAGTCAAAGGCGGTGGAAGGTTTAGTGGTGCAAAAACTAACTAGTAGTATGTTTTACTTTGACAAGTCCTTGGTGGAAGGTTTGGTGGTGAAGAGATAAACGACACGACGCTTTCACAAACGACAGTATCTTTGATGTCGTTGGTAGGACAGGAAATAAAAAGGAAAAATGAAAAATAGAATGGACATGCGGGGTATCGATCCCCGTACCTCTCGCATGCTAAGCGAGCGCTCTACCATCTGAGCTACATCCCCGTGGACTTCCAACCTTTCCATTTAACTGATATCAAAATAAACAATGTTTCTTCAATTTCTAAACATATTATTTGCACTCCAAAAATCTTATTCTACACTCCTCACAAGTGTATTTTTCTTTCCTAATATAGAAAATTTGGAGTGTAGAATGAGATTTTTGAAGTGCGAATAACAATTCCCAATCTTTTTTGTCAATAAAAAGAAGGCAAAAAAACTATTGAGACTTCTATCACAACAAAAAGGTTAAGGACAATAATATAATTTAACAAAACAAAATTTTGCTGTTTTTTGTTTAAGCCTCACTTACACGTAATTTTAACATCTCTAATTAAAAAAATAATAATAATAAAAATAAAAACTTCTCTCACTCTCTCCCTCTCTCCTTCAATTCTAAAAGCAAAAGTAGAAAATTTTACAAACAATTTGTGTGTGGACATATACTAATATTTGATTAAACGAAGACTTCAAACATATACAAAAAGATTTCACGTCGTTAGTTAATTGTATTAAAAGTCTTAATCATGTGTGTTCATCTTAATTTGGCCGTCCGACGTCCCATCTTCATCTTCACCTTGATCATCACTAATCAGTTTAACATAATGTTGTTTATGTATAAAATTCTAGCCTTTTATGTATGCTGTCGACCTTATGCACTGTAATTTCAGCAACTACCGTTCAACCTTAACCTTACAAGGCAAAATTTTGCTTCAAGAAAGGTGACAATATCAGCATTCCCTGCAAGAAAAAAGCATTAATAGGCACATACGGGGATGGTATTCACTTAACAGAACCAAACTGGGATGGTTAACCCCTCACATATTGGGATGGTATTCGCTTTTGAGCCATCAAATAACTAACATAAATGGTTAATCCCTCACTTTGTTGCAAACATTAATCAGCATTGTCGTGATGAGTATTGTAAACACAAGAGACATAATTCGACGACAATCTGTTTTTAGGTATAAAATTAATCTAGCTGCAACTAGATCAGCCAGTACTCTGTTAAACATTCCCTTCACATTTAAAAGTTTCCAGAGACTGGACCACAAGGACATGTTTCTCGTTGTGGTGCAATTTCCGTTTCTGGGTTTGGTACATTGCTAACCACACACATGGTCTGTTTGACGTTTAAAAGTCAAAGGCGGTGGAAGGTTTGGTGGTGCAAAAACTAACTAGTGGTATGTTTTACTTTGACAAGTCCTTGCTGGTGGAAGGTTTGGTGGTGCAAAAACTAACATGTTTTACTTTGACAAGTCCTTGCTGGTGGAAGGTTTGGTGGTGCAAAAACTAACTAGTAGTATGTAACAACTAACTAGTAGTATGTTTTGCTTTGACAAGTCCTTGCTGGTGGAAGGTTTGGTGGTGCAAAAACTAACTAGTAGTATGTTTTGCTTTGACAAGTCCTTGCTGGAAGGTTTGGTGGTGAAGAGATAAACGACACGACGCTTTCACAAACGACAGTATCTTTGATGTCATTGGTAGGACAGGAAAGACATTTCACTTTAGTTTCCTTGCGTTCTTTAGAAATGATATGAATAAAAGGAGAACCGAACACAGAAATCTGACTGCACAGATATCAAGTAAATTTTCTTATATGCTTAACCTACAAGCCACTTTCCTTTTCTTTGGTATTACACGGTTTAAGACAAAACAATCAGAAATATAATATTAATTGATCAACTTATAAATACTAACCCACCCTAGCACTCAAGAATTTAAATATAATTAGAATCGATCATCATCCTCATGGTGCATCAGCACCCAAGGGCACCTTCCAATTGGGTATACTTTTCCATTTCCTAGTGTTAAAGAAGAATTCCATGAGGATCCTCATTGCATTCTCTTTGTAAAGATCATGGGAATTTTCAAATCACATCTGTTCATCGTACATCGTGCAATCAGAAATCATTGTAAATTTTTTATTTAAAATTGAATATAAATAGTACCTAACGAAAACTGTTTATATTCAATTTTAAATAAAAAATTTACAATGATTTCTAACCGCATGATATACGATGAACAGATGTGATTAGAGAATACTTAGAATCCAGCGAAAATCCTCTCTCTTAAAAGAATTGATAGAGTTGGTGGAGATAAAATAACTTTATGAAGCATTTCAGAGTTGACCAAGTAATTGAACCCACTAAGGACAATTAACATTTTTTTTTTTTTGTGGATAATTAAAGGGCCGTTTGATAATATTTTGTTTTTAATTTTTAATTTTTATAAAAAAATTGAAATTTTGTTTGGTAATTATTTTAAATAAAAAAATGAAAACTTGAAAATTAAAAAGTGAAAACTCAATAATAAATTTTGAAAACTCAATGAAGCAATTCTTAGTGTTCATTTTTTCAAAAACTTAATACTGAAAGTAGTTACTAAACAAGACTTTCGTTTTCAATTTTAAAACAGTAAAAACAAAACATATTATCAAACGACCCCTCAATAATTTAACATAAGCAGTAAGTTACGTGGACATTCCCCACATTAGCTAGCAACATGAGTGTTTGAGAGAAACACCATGACATGATGACATTTCAACAACTATACAAAAACATGTCAGCTAGCTTTTGTTACATTGGTCGGTTTCCTTGATTTAGTGTACGTAATATATTTTACCATTTGACCTCAACGTTAAAAAACAAAGTTTAGTTGGAAGGTAGCTCAGCTGTCAACCTTATTTGCTGATGTTGATCCCCCTAAGACCACTACAGTACTAATTTAGTTAGTGTTTCTAGTCCCATCTTTAATTAATTATTCCAGCTTATTTGTGTACTATACAAAACGCGAACAAATTAAGCCATCGAATTGCCAAATATTATTAGTTTACCTCTCATTTCCATCTTCAACTCAATCTTCACCCTGAACACAACAACATGAAGTTGCTTACCGTCCTAGTCCTAGCTTTTTATTTGTGCATGGCCTTGTGTACTGTTTTATCTAGTCAACCATACAAGGCAATATTCAACTTCAGTGACTCCCTTAGTGACACCGGAAATTACCTTCTCTCTGGTGCTCCGTCATTCCCAGCCATTGGAAGCCACCCTTATGGAGAGACCTTTTTCAAACATGCAACCGGCCAATGCTCTGACGGGCAACTCGTCGTTGATTTCACTGGTAAGTAACCCATACATACTATGCATGGCAATATAGTAAAAGTATGTGACAATTGATATATTGGTTGTAGCTGAGGCATTTCGGGTACCATATTTGCCGCCCTATCTTGCCCTAAATAATGGCCAACATTATAATTGTGATCATGGAGTAAACTTTGCTGTTGCTGGAGCCACTGCACTTTCCCCGGAATTCTTTTACCAAAGAAATATAGGATCTAGTTTGTGGACAAACGATTCCCTGAGCACTCAGCTTGGTTGGTTTAAGAAGCTTAAGCCCTCACTTTGCAACATCAAACAAGGTAAGTAATTTTAATGACTATTAGAAAGTATAGTTCTATGAGCGCGTTTGATAACCATTTCATTTGCACTTAAAGCGAAATAGTTATCAAACACGCCTTACATTAACCCATAATTCTATCTTTAATCTAATTTTCTTAAATTAACTCACATTTAATTAACAGAGTGTGACATCTACTTCAAGAAGGCACTCTTTCAGGTGGGAGAGAGAGGTGGAAACGATTACAATTACCCTTTCTTTTCTGGTTGGTGCATTAGACATGTCAAAACTTTAGTCCCACTTCTTGTTGAGGCAGTTTCTAATGCCACAAATGTAAGCATATAAATTAGCAACTTTTGAACAAAAATTTCTCACTAAATTAATTTTGTTAATTATATGAGCATTTTTGTGTGTTGTGGTTGCAGGCATTGATAGAAGAAGGGGCAGTGGAGTTGGTGGTGCCTGGAAATTTGCCAATTGGGTGCTCAACTGTGTACCTCACAATATTTCAAAACCCTAATAAATATTTTTATGATCGAAATGGATGTTTGAAGGCCTTGAATGCTTTCTCCAAGTACCATAACAATGAGCTCAAACGATCCTTGAGGAAACTCAGAGAAAAACACCCACATGCAAGGATTATATATGTTGATTACTATGGTGGAGCCATGCCTTTTTATCATGGTCTCACCATCACGGTTAGTTTTACCTCCATCATTTCGAGAAATTTGGTGTGCTCCTCACAATATCATGTGGTGTTACAAGCCGCCAATATTATAAACATGTTTTGATATTGATATTATAGATTAAATATAAATATGTTGTCCATTTATATTATAATTCGTACATTAGTATTAACACGTAACTTTGTTGACATATACATATGCAGGGTTCAAAAGTGTTCTAACGGCCTGTTGTGGAGGGGGAGGACCCTACAATTTCAATATTTCAGCAACGTGTGGAGGACCAGGCTCAATGACCTGCAAAGATCCATACTTGTATGCAAGTTGGGATGGAATTCACTTAACAGAAGCAGCCTATCGCTACATTGCCTTGGGTTCCATCCTGCCCACTTTAGTAATTTTACTACTCCCCACTAGCATCAGCAAGTTACTTAAAGCCATCTCTCCCAGCCAAAAACAAAACAAAAGTGTATTATGTATTCCTTTTTTATGAAAAGTTAATGTATTATATAATTATAATTATAATGAATAATAACCCTATGCATATATTTTGGATATAACGTAATTGAAGGCCATTTTACTTTTCCTTTGTTTTGTTACATCATATTCAGGGAAGGAGAATCGAACATGGCTTCAAATGTACAGATTTAAAATAAATGTTCTTAATCACTTGAACTATACGTTCTTTCTTGATATTTCATGAATGACACAAATTTATGCTATAACTTTGATTTTATTTTTAGCTTTAGACAAATGAATTAATTCAACCTTCGTAATTCAAATATTCCAAGGTTTTAGGACAACCAACATTTCAAATAAACACCCCACTTATCTATCATGTGACAGAAACAATTAAGACACACATAAAACTGATATCTTCGAAATATAAATCCACCCAAGAAATCAAGAATCTAAAACATTCAGAATTGATCATCACCATCCTCATGGTCCATAAGCACCCAAGAACCATCTTCCAGTTGAGTCATACACTTGTTCTTCTCACAACGCCAAGACGCCGGTATAAGGTACTCCTCCTTCAAGGCATCAGTCACTTTTATTTACCAGTGCTATGTCACGCTTAACTTCCAACTTGAACCCACTTTTACTCCCTTGTGTTCCTGCAACTCCATGCAAGTACCCTTCCATGTTATGCCAACTCGCCACTCCTCCAGGACTCTTCAGGTACTTGGATTTTTGTGTGTCGATTGTCAACTCTTCTCCCACGTCTGAGTACCCAAAAAAAATTGGATAGTTTGGGACAACATCTAAGGCATTACTGAACGCGTAAGGCTCGAAGATCTTTGTAGCCGGAGAAGACCTTCTCAAAGTTTGAGTTACCAACTCGAGGGCTTGCGAACAAAATGGCTGTAACTGGGCAGGCTTTGTTTGGCAGGTCCTTCGGCCTGTTAAGTCCATTGGCAACAATGTCAATTGCACTTAGCGTGGCAATTGCTGCACCCAAACTGTGCCCTGTTATGGTGATACTAATTTCCTCATCCTTGTATTGCTCTACTAGTCTCCTAACTTCTTCAATGACCTAGATGCATAAAAACCAAAAAACATTAAAAATAAAAATTATCTCATCTATGTGTAATATTATCTTACCTAATTTGGCATGCATATTATATTGTCAGACTGTAATTCAAATCAAATGTGATCTTACCTGGTGTCTGGCACTGGTTTTGTTGAAAGGCGAATGTGAATCATCTGAAGTATAGATGGAGTACCAACCTTGGTGCACCTTTGGATCACCTTCCTCGCTAAGTATGTTTGACGCAGAAACCAAATTAAATTGCAAGTCATTAACCCACTCCAAGGACTGCACAGTACCTCTCCAAGCAATCACAATGTCTCTCCTGCCCAATGCAGCCTTCCCTTCATCTGTCGCCACAGCAACATACGCCATCCAGTTTGATTCCTTGCACCAAGACTCCCTTGACAAAGACTTAATCAGGAAGGCCTCAGGGACTTGAATCTGCGACGTCGCATACACAAACTTGGTCACATTATACTTAAAAGGGTTTGCTTTCTCTAAACCAACTTTAGAGAAGAAGTTCTTTCTGGCATATCTGCTGCTTCCTGCATACTTTGATGTCTTCTCTGTGTTGAAGGCATCATAAGTAGCTTGAGCCATTTCTCCATAGTGAATTATGTATCGACGGAGATCAATGTCTAGAGGATCCAATAGGCCCTCCCAGTTGTGTTCGCCGCTTAGGTGCTTCCATTTTTTGGCTATGCTACGACTGCTATCCATCTTTTTCTTCACTCCAAGCATCCTTGTGAGGAGGATGAGCTTAAAATCCTCGAAAAAATCTTGAATGCATTTTGAACGATAGGTTTTGAAATCTTAGAAAAGTTGAAATGTTGGGGTTTGATCCGTTTTCGTGGTGGTGGTAGTCTCATAGTCCAAAAGAAAGTGAATATTAAATTCAACCCAGCAAGAATAGGAAATTTTGAAGTACAAATATATCTGTTATTTTGTTGCTGCAAGCAATGTGATTGCATCTCTTAGACATTACATTAGGCATATGCCAATTGCCAAATCTGATGAAATTTCACCATTCTTGGCTTGGAATTTACAAGCAGAATCTGTTTACTCCACAGATTTGGTGGTTGGAAAACTTTTAAGTTCAAAACTTGGTTTTCCTAGTTTTCTAAGCATCTTTTGCCAATGCAGGTACGAGCTTGAATAAATTTGGGGTTTACTTAACATTAAGAAAAAGATCATCAATTTTTTTTATTTATTCTCTTTCTATTTTTGGCTCATAAAGAGATCAGATGATTACTTTTGATTTTGCTAATAGGAAAACGTGCATATTTGGGAAGAGTGTGATGCCAGCAAGTTGAAGAAGGCAAATCTTGTACATTTTGTATATACATTTTGGATGATAAGAACTAAGAAGAAACAACCAACTGTCCATCTGCCTTGACCCTTCACACTCAACAAACTGTCCCCATACAGAGAAAAGATAGTGAAATTAATCAGCAGTATGGGCCAGCAGTTGTAACTATATTATTGAGGCTCGGAGCAAAATAATGTTCTGTTTAGGACCAATGGAATAGATTGGTTACATGGTGTTCATGGGCCATATTTATGCACACAAGGTTGAAATTTCAAGCACTATGAGGGACGGAGCTAGAAATTTCTTCTAGTGGGAGCAATCGAAAACAACTAAGAAAACCTTATTATAGTATGGTTATACGCAATATGATATTAAGGATGGTTTCAAATGATGATGTATCACAATTCCAATATCACAAAAATTTCAATATAGTAGTGGAAAGTGGCAAAGTGATGAGAAAACTATAAGTACATGATAGGCGGAGAGAGTTTTTTTGGTTTGAATGACAGAACAAGCGCACTATTGCTCATATAATATTTGATAAGGAGTATAATTAGTAGAATGAATGTATGTTGGATATTATATACATATATTTTCTTCAAAGATAACTCACGTATATTATATAATTGTAGTCTGCAACTAAACAAATGAATTACTTGAGTGGGAGCATATGCCCCGAGTGAGCCTTCATTGGCTCTGTCCATGAGCACCAGAGTTGGTTTTTTTCCCTTTTGATCATGTTTTTTCTCAACATAAAGGGATTAACTAATCATGGGTTTTCATTTCTTTTATGTAAAGGATATTCTAATATAATCTAAAAGACAGGGAGAGAGAGTTGAATTTAGGTGTAGAGAAAAGCAACACGTTGGTCAAGCCAACTAGAATGAACTCATGTCTTCATGGATTTTCATTCACCTTTAAGGTACATTTTTTTTTCACATTAGGGCATACTGTAGAGTAGGAAAAATACTTTTATGACACAGATACATCTGTAGAAAAGGAGGGACCAACAGAGAGAGCAGCATGAAGAAAATAAGTGCAGGAAGTAATAAGTCTGTAATACGGAGAATAGTTTGATTGATCATCTGCTATATCAATTGGTACATATTTAAGTATATAAATCATTGACTTTTGTATACCAATTACATGTAAGTAACAATACATCATCATCTTACATCGATTTGCGTCAATAATATAATGCCATCTAAAAATGTTCTCCACATGAGATTGTATCATAAGATTATATAGCATAACGATATATGCGCAAGTTGTTCTCCCGTCTTCTGTTTTTAAGAGTGGTACAACCTATCTTCCAAACCATCTACAAACTCTGTCAGCGGCTCTGCTGACACTTGTTTTGCTGCACACCCCATGGCGCTTTACTGCAACGCACTTTGGACTAAGTTCGGACAACCCAGTAGTCCTTTTAACTTTTTTCATTTTTTTTTTTTTTTTGTTTTTTTTCTGTGGTAGGTGAAAGGTGATACCTAACTCAAATCTTACAGGGGGGATGTTATCCTCCAACATATATACAGACATACATGCATGTTCTATGTGAAATCGTCTAGTCCCACCACCATGGTACTATCCCATCAGAGTCCGTGACTAGCCTCTCCAACTTCACGAGACCGCTCTCCTCTGGACAAATTAGTGATAAGATAATATTCACCTGAATCATCACCTCCATCTTTCCCAAATGTGGGACCAACACAAAACACGTCACCTCATCGGCATTAGGGTTTTATCTCAGCTCTTACACAGAAGACTTGGTGTAGTTGTAGGAAGTTTTCTCATGTTTCAAAAATTCAAAGTTTCTCTCTCTTTTGATTTTCATACCTGTGAACTGTTGTAATTGCAGCACCGCTTGGAAATACTTTGTTTTTTACATTGGACCCAAAATTTGATGGTGGTCACTCACCAACTCTTGCTTAATGCATTCAATTGAAGCAAAGAGACCAAAGCATGAAGCAACTATATGTGTCATTTTCCAATGACTCCAAATGTGTATTTGTGTGTGTAAAATATATATCTTCCTCTATATATCACATATGTTGTTTCTTCACTGTACCAGATAATATACCGATTAAATGTCTCGTGGAGGTCATGTCAATGCATGCCATGTAAATGTTCATGGGCACCAATTTCTTTTACGGTGTTTATATCCTAAATGATCGATGCGTCTCTACACATGTTAGAGTCTATCTTACTAAAAGTAAATGAGGTATAGAGTAAGCTCATATTTGAATAAGAAAAATAGTTTTCGCACACTAACTATTAGTTATTTGTGTTATTAACTGATTCTCTTTTAATTAAATTCAATTCAAAAATAGGACGGGCGGAGGGGTTTTTGGGTTCAACGGTCTTTTCTTTTTCAAAAGAGGGTTGATGCTTCGCACACGACTGTTGACGAAAAGATAATCTCACCTATTCTATTTCTACAAAAGTTGAAAGAACAAAAAAAATTAACAGGATTAGAAAATATGCGCATAAATCACTTTTTTCTTCTTTAGTAAATAACAGGACATGTACTTGGTGAATAGGTAAGTTAAGCATTGGTGGCCTAATGAATTGTTGTTGGACTAAATTATACATGCAAGCAATAGTGGCTAATTATTAGGTTAAGGACGACCAATGGAGCCCCAAAAAAGATGTACATACTACATGCTTTTCATTCGTGGTTCGTTGGCCTTGGGGTTGCTTATTTTCTATTATGCAAGAAACTGTTGCCTATTACTCATCGAGGTAATACTAGTAAGATCATCTATTTAAATTATATTTTTTTAAATTATATGACGTAGTTGATGATTGAATTATTAGTTGAGTGTTGGATTAGCATGTTTCTTTCTTATTGATCCGGATTCTCTCATCTCTCATTTTCTCCCTCCCGTCCCATCCTATTTGGAGGGGAAAGAATCATGCTCTAATTCTTATTGATGACCCATCATATGATTTCAAAAAGTGGTATAAAAAATTGATCTATCTAGCATTATTTTTATCTGTTGATTATATATATTTTTTTTCCATTGATTATATTCGAAGGCACATATATGTGGGTGTGTGCATGCATGGAGTCGGAGAGGACCACTTTCGATCACGTTAGCATTTACTCCCGCGGGCCTAGGGTTTGCTTGTTACATTACTTTCATTTCTCTGATTCCCTACAAACAAACCACTACTTACATTATTTTTTCTTATTCATGAATCATAATACATAGCTTTTGTAAATTCTAATTGTTGTATGATCTATCTAACAATCAATATGTTTGCCACCCCATAATATACATGCGGGGAAAAGCTTTGTTAAAATGGTCCGAGTAAATTAGCTTCGAGTGTGATATTGAAGTCAGATCGATGCGACCACCAAATTACAAAATGCTCTATTTTGGGAGTGCAATCTGAGTGTCCTAAACAAGTTTTTCTCTGCATTGTGTGAGATCAAAATTGCGAGACATTATTTATTAAAAATTAGATAAACTTTGTTGTGTTGAATTTTGAGATTGCAGTATTTTTTTTAACAAGGTACATTACGATGAGTATTTCAATCTAAATTCAATATCTATAATTCTGGCCAAGATGTTGGTATTTCAAGTCCCTTAAATTAGCTAAACATGAATCAGCCTCACAACGTAAATTGAACGAAAATGGCGAAGCAAGGAGATTGAGAAGGGTACTGACTCACTGAGAACTTTATATACATTCTAATGTCAACCTCAGAGCAGCTGTAAGAGCTCAAACCTCCTCTCTCTCTCTCTCTCTCTCTCTCTCTCTCTCTCCAAAAGTGATCACTGCTGAAATCTAAGCAAGAAATTACAGTGACTTTACCTTCTCCGGCCTGCTCCTATATGCAGGTGAAGTCCTTTTTTTTTTTTGGCCAAAGCTCAAGTCACTGTTGCAACACGCACGAATAGCACTGCAACATTATGAGAAAATTACCGAAAAAAGGGATGAGAAGTTGGTTTTTTCTGGTCGAAAAGAGGAATAAGTTAGCAACTGTACAAACGCACAAAAACAAACGAGTTCCCGATTTTTATTCGTAGTCACTTTCCCTCCTTGCTATTTAACATTTTGAGCTTTTGATTTACTAAAACAAAGTATATATATGTTTATATGTATAATGAGTTTTCTATTCAATTGAGAATTCAATTTTTACGCAATAGCTTTGATAAAAATATAGCTAGCCTTACAATGTCGAGTCACATAGACTAGCCAAGCTAATCTTCAGGGTTGAGGAACTTCCAGATATTATTTAAGTCGTTAAGGTTAATTTAGTGGTAATGTTGATAGGAGTATGCTAAGTTTAGAATTAGAAACTCTGTAACAAAAAAAAAAACCAACTTATTCCTTTGATGGAGTTATAAACAACGAGATTATGGCGAGAAACAAAAGCAAGGGAGATACCGCGAGATTATGGCGAGAAACACCGTACAAAGCCGACCGTTGGAAGGGCCTGTGCAATTTCCAAACCCCAACCCCCAATCCCACGCGCCATTTTCCCAAATCCCCTCAGTAACTCATAAGATATTTCAAAATTTCCCCACCAAAAACCCTCCTCGCGCGTGAACTCCCTCTTTTTTAATTTATTAATTTTTGCTTCTATTTTTTTCCTACTTATTTTTTAAAATAAAAATTTTGGTCGCAAACTTCAAGTTGGAGGGTTTGAGCTTCACTCACTTTCTCCAACACAGAGAGACAAGGACGTTTTTGTAAGTAACCCCTTCACTCTGTGCTGGATTATGCAAGCTAATCACACACCCCAAATCCTTGAGAGAGGAACATCACACTTTTAGAGAGAGAGAGAGTGAGAGAAACAGGGAGTTGAGTGAAGGGGAGAGGGGGTTTTGCAATGGTTGCTGGGAAGGTGAGGGTGGCAATGGGGCTACAGAAATCGCCGGCGAATCCCAAACCGGAAACTCCTTCAAAGTCTCCGTTGCCGTCGTTGAGCTCTGGGAAGACACCCCAGAAGGGGGCGGTGTTCTCGCGCTCCTTTGGTGTATACTTTCCACGCTCCTCCGCGCAGGTGCAGCCTAAGCCGCCGGACGTGACGGAGCTGCTCCGACTGGTTGAGGAGCTCCGGGAGCGAGAGTCGAGGCTGAAGACGGAGCTTCTGGAGCACAAGCTCCTGAGAGAGTCGGTCGCCATCATCCCCGTCTTGGAGAACGAGATTATTAGCAAGAATGAGGAGATTGATAGAGCGTCGAAGCGGGTGGAGGAGCTGGCGGCGGAGAACGAGCGGCTGAGTAATCAGGTGGCGGAAGTAACGTCAGCGTTGGAGGAAGAGAGGAGGGGGAAAGAAGAGAAATTGAAGCGATTGGAGGCTGAAATTTCGGAGCTGAAGAAAACGACGTCGGATCGTATGATTAATTTCGAAAGCGACGAGCTTTCGTCGTCACAGAGATTTCAGGGACTGATGGAGATCACCGGAAGGTCGAATCTGATCAGAAATTTGAAGAGGGGAGTGAAATGCGCGGACATTCCGACGAATCCGGAGAATCAGAAGCTCGATGGCTCCGAGTCGAAGAGGGAAGAGCCGGAATCGGAGAGGCCGAGGCTCTCGCGGTGTAACTCGGAGGAGTTCGCCGAGTCGACTCTGGCTACCATCAGATCTCGCATCCCGAGGGTTCCTAAACCGCCGCCGAGACCGTCGACATCCAACGGTCAAAAGACTCAAAACAAGGCCTCAACAGAACAAGGTATTGCATTTCCACCACCGCCTCCGCCGCCACCAAGTCAGACAAAATCAGCACTCCCACCGCCACCTCCGCCTTCTAAGGCGGCTCCACCTCCACCTCCTCCGCCACCGAGAGGTATAAGGCCGGCGACGGCGAAGGTGAAGCGAGTGCCGGAGGTTGTCGAATTTTACCACTCTTTGATGCGAAGAGACTCTCGGAGGGAGTCGGGCAGCGGAGTCTCCGACGCAACGGGAACCGCCAATGCCCGCGACATGATCGGCGAGATCGAGAACCGGTCGGCTCACCTGCTCGCTGTAAGTTCCGGTACCTGGTGTGATTTCTGTAAATTACAATTTTGCCATTGGCTTCTAGGTTGTGTCAGTGACAGGTGGCCCTCGTATTTGTCTTATTATCTAGCTCTACGCTTTTTCCGTTGGATTTTATTGTTTGCTTGACAGACAAGACAGTTCGCAGATTCGAACTGCTTTTTTTTAGATGCCAAAAAGGGTGTAATTTTTGTAAAGTTTAGGGGCAAATGTTCATCGCTTGTCAAATTGACTTGTCTTTCGTATTTGCAGATAAAAACGGACGTAGAAATGCAGGGAGATTTCATTAGGTTTTTGATAAAAGAAGTTGAAAACGCAGCGTTTTCTGACATCAACGATGTGGTGCCTTTTGTGAAATGGCTGGATGATGAGCTCTCATACTTGGTAGCATTTCATTTTTTCCATTTAAAAAATCTGTTAATACCTTCTCTTAATCGAAAATCGGGGTTGCACACGTGGATTAGAGAAGTTAAGAATATCGTACTGTCAAAATAAAAAATAAACGTTCAAGCTGGGGTCTTGACATTGATTTTGTTTGTTTAGGTGGATGAAAGAGCTGTGCTGAAGCATTTTGACTGGCCGGAGCAGAAAGCCGATGCCCTGCGCGAAGCGGCATTTGGGTATTGTGACCTCAAGAAGCTTGAATCCGAGGCCTCGTCGTTCCCTGATCATTCTCGCCAGCCCTGCGGTCCAACCCTCAAAAAGATGCAGGCTTTGCTGGAAAAGTGAGTGGATTTCTTCATTTCTTGGTCTTGTCCTTCCAAATTGTAGCCATTTTAGCGTGGAGTTCTTATATGGTTGGTGTAATTTGAACAGATTGGAGCATGGTGTTTACAATCTCTCGCGGATGAGAGATTCCGCCACTAAAAGATACAAAGTTTTCCAAATTCCTACAAATTGGATGCTCGATTCTGAATTTGTAAGCCAGGTAATTCATTGTTCCAATCCCTCATGCTTGCAATGCATGCCAATTTTATGAGAACTTACATGCAATGAGAGAGCTAATTACATATCAGGAGAGAAAATTAAAATACATAATGATGCATGATTGACTTGAGATACCGTCACACTAGTAACATTCCAACTTCGTGGAAGTTTCTCTCTAAGTCTCATCTACACTCAATCACCCACTAGGTCATCTTTTACTATTGGCTATGGAGTTTTTGGTGGTGCTCTTTAATGACTCACATACTTGTAGATCTTGGCGATAATTGACTAATTGAGAAATCTTTTTGACACAGTCTACAATGCAATCTAAGCTTAGGGCTTAGGGGTCAAAAGATGGATAGATTTTTTAATGTGCCGATAACACAGTCTGGTGTATTATGTGTAATAATACATTGGTTGAAAACTTAATTACTTTGGTGTACCAAATCGTGTTCTAAGCATACTAAAAAATTTCTTCACAAGATGAAAGACATTAAAGTATGACCTAGATTTTTCCACATTTTCTAGTCCCACGCCTGCCTGCTGCATGCTCACATGTGAACTCCCTACAATATGTTTGTCTTCTTCACTTTTTATTTCGGAGTGGTTGGAAGGAGGAAAGAAGCAAGCAAGTAATAAGATTCTCCTCTTTTGACTTTATCGGAGTGAACAAGCTAATTAATTAATTGGGCTCTCTGATTTGTACATTATATTATGTTTTTGTCTCGAGACTGCCCCTCAATGTGATTGAATCCTCACTGTTGAATAGAATTGGATTGGATTTTCGAAGTCTTGAAAGGAAAATGATTTCCACACTTTTTGTATTTTTTTTGTATTTCGTGGTAATTTTTGTCACATGATTTTTTTATTTATTCAATTTAAAAGTCAAAAATAGAGAGGGGTGCGTGGAAAGAGAACAAGCTCCTTCTTCCAATCCCATAGAGAGGCCCGGAAGAATTGATTGAGTGGTGCGAAAATCATTTCCCCTGCGGGAATACACCACTTAAATGTTATGTTAGGCAGAAAAATTGAATGTTTCAAGAAGCAGATATAGGAACCCGAAATATGAATGTGATTTATAGTACACCAGCAAATGTTGTACTGACAATGTTGGTACATGTTCACAGATCAAGTTGGCATCGGTAAAATTGGCAATGAAGTACATGAAGAGAGTCTCTGCTGAGCTTGAAATTGTAGGTGGTGTTCCCGAAGAAGAAGAGCTGATAGTTCAAGGCGTTCGATTTGCCTTCCGCGTACATCAGGTAACTAAGAAACACTCACTTCAACAGCATCGATCATTTTACTGTGTCCTATGTTTCGCGTTCTTACGATGTGATTGTGATTATTCGCTGCAGTTTGCTGGAGGATTCGATGCAGAAACAATGAGAGCGTTCCAGGTGTTGAGAGATAAAGTGAGATCGTGCCATGTACAATGCCAGAACCAACAGCAGCAGAAAATCGTATGCCGATCTACGCCGTGCTAAATCTGTAGCGAGCTCAGCTACAGAAATTGCTCTAAGAGTTCTTTGTTGTAAAGGTAGAACTTCTATATGGTATAATTGCTCATCACCTACTCGGCTAGATTGGGTATCGGTTTAATATGTTCCATCCCATTCCGTCCCATCTACGTATCAAACGGTACCTAAGTTCACTAACATGTATAATAGCTTGTAATACAATGTAGTAATGCTACAACTTCGTCATCCTCTCAATCACGAATAACATCAACTTTATTCTTTTTATTTCAATACTTTGCGGTATATTAATGATTAAGATTCGATTCGGTTCGGTTTGGTTTTGAGAAGTTTCAATTCAAATGAAACTTAATTCGGCTTGACCTACACATGTGTGCTGTGTTGGACCGATTGTAAAGATGGATCTTACTTAATTTGGTGAACCATGCAAATTTTAGTTTAGATAAGTTGACCAAAGTAGTATATTTCTCTATACCATTAATACAATGAAGTAATGCTACAACTTCGTCATCCTCTCATTCAATCACGAATAACATCAACTTTATTCTTTTCATTTCAATACTTTGCGGTATATTAATGATTAACATTCCATTCGATTCGGTTTGGTTTTAAGAAGTTTCAACCCAAATGAAACTTAACTCAGCTTGACCTACATGTGTGTGATGTCCGATTTTAAACGGATCTTACTCAATTTGGTGAACAATGCAAATTTTAGTTTAGATAAGTTAACCAAAGTAGTATATTTCTCTATACCCAAGTTTGAACTCCAAAAGCCTCCCAAAGAATAATTAAATGTTGAACATCCTAGGTATAAAAATGAAGAAAAAAAAAAAAGTGTGCTCATGTTCCTTCCACCTTTTCATATAACCCGTCTTTATTATAGAAAAACAAACATATAATTGTGATGTTATCAACACTCCAAAAAACTCATTATGCACGCAGCAATGATGCTTATGCACCCTAATGCAATATCCATCCCCATTGACCCCCCTCCGTCTTAACAATTAATTATTTAATTCACTAACGCTTTCGTTCATCAAAATAAAAAACTTATGGCACACTAAATTTTTCATATTTAAAAAGAAAAATACATCTGATCAGGAATAAGACTGACGAATGTTACATGGTGAAAGCAGCAGTTTACATTGGGTTACTAGCTTCTTCTTTCCTCCACTTCCCCACCATAGTGGCTTTAAGGTTTGGTCCTTTTTTATCTTGTACTGACAACGAACCCTTCGAGGAGGATCATGGCTGGTGCATCAGTGTCTTCATCCATGAGAGGAAATGCAGGATCCATCAACATATCTTTGATTTTTTTCTGTACCGAGGGCTGTCTTCCTGTCATTTTTGTGGCTGATGATTATTTGGCGAATCGCCGAATGCTTGGTATTTCATGCTTATTTATATATGGAATTGAAGATATATGATGCTACCGACGATTTCTTCCAACAAAATCCTAAATTTGTGTTCATATTTGGTTGTCATCTGGTTTTTCTTTTTTTTTTTTTCTTTGAATCTCTGATCTCCATTTGGAACACACTGAAGTGTCTTGAAATCGCTTTAGCTTTTGGCTTGAATTGCAGATCGAAATACTGTGTTTCTGTTGCTCTTGTACCAGTATAGTATCTTTACACATTCAAGAGCTTTAAAGGAAATTATATTGATCACAATGCTGGAAATTTCCACATGTACATTTCTTCAATTAGATCACAGAGCAAATGAACAAGAAAGTTCGAACTAGTCAATAACTCTCTACGACTTGAATATTTTTTGCTTTCTGTAAGCACACTTACACCCTCATTTGGATTTCAATCTGTTCTTTGTCTATCTACGAACTCGAAACCATTCTTCTAGTTCGGTAAAACAATAGTTACAACTGATTTTGCCACCTTATTGTCGTTTACCAATCGATGTGAATATGAAAGAAAGGAAACTAGAGGAAATGATTTCCGCGCTGTCTTTTTCTCCCTCTTCAGTCCTCTTATTTCTAGCTGTTGGATTGATTAAATTCAAGGAGAATCAATGGGCAACAACAAAGAGAGGATTGAGGAAGGAGAAAATGTGAGCGCGCGAATCACTTCCCAAACTAAAAATGGTTGCTAACTGTTGCTCAGTGTTGAACTTCACAATTCACATGATGAGAGCTGCATATAGGAGTTGGTTCCAGGTATCAGGCAACCCGGGCAGGCACCAGTGGCTGCAGTCATTGCCCGAATGATCGCCGCTATAAGTTGAGGGATGAGCGTCCTTTCTCAACTGCGAGAGTGTTGTAATATCGAGCAAGTAAACCGGTTTCTTAATCGTGCTTAACACCTTATAGACAACAGCAGCAGATGGAGGTGCCCCTGCTGGGTAGGTTGATCCCGACAACGGTCCAAGTTCTCCTGAGCAAGTCTTCTTTGGCGAATTCCATTCTTTTCCCCTGGTAATTCAATACAATAACAACGTTGTTAATTATGATTAAAGTTGCATAATGGTAGTGCAGAATTGGCAATTCTTGACAAAATGCATTAATCTATATCTTACATTTGTTACATATTTTCAATTGTAATTGTTTAAGTTTAAGGATGTCTCTCACACTTCAATCGCAAAGATATTACGTAAACGAGATACTTATTCAAGTACATTTGCACGCATGCATCCAACTACATTCATCAAATATCTCATGTTATTATATTTGGGATAGGACTCTTACCCATTATGTGTTTTATCTCTTAAGATGAGTTGTCCTTTCTACATTTATTATTAAAACACATCTTTTGTCGGTGGGATTTATCTGATTGCATGCTTTCAAAATAAAACTATAGTTTATTTGGATGTTGAAATGGTTTGCTGTTCTTATCTTGTTTTAATCAGTACGGTGATCTTTGCCTATAATGAGATGTCAGGTCTTTGGAGAAAGTGTGCATGAATATTAGTTTTTTGACAAAATAATCGAAAGGTAGCAGCTTTGTGTTTTGAGCAAGAAAAATAATTTTTATACTGTTGCTATCTTGTGTTATAGACCGCATGTGTTTTTAAGAGAAAATATTATTTTTCATGCTGGTTTCATTTGAGTTTTTAATTGAATGTTAATTATGAAAATGTGCCTTGTGATTTTCGTAATTGATTGTTTTTCAACAAACACTTCATCATATATACATTATGCATGATCGAGTTAGTATCTTACAAAGTTCGAGGGAAAGATGATTGAAGACCGCATTAGTGACGTGTCACTTCAACTCGAAGGCTAAAGAAAGATCGAGTAGCAAAGCTGCCAGCTAGTATGGGTGTCTAGTTCATTAGTTTTTGTAAGTCTTTATGTATTCTTTCTTTCTTAATGCTTCATGGCTTGGTAGCCCAAGGATTTTCCCAGTGGTGGATTTTACCTCGTTAAATCCTACATCATATGTGCACTCTTTATATTTATGCAGAATATTTGTGTAGGATTTAGTTTGCATAACTGGTTAATTTAAATCATAGTTTGAATTAGTTTTTGCTTACTGATAATGTGTTGGAGAAATGCCCTGGAAGAAGACTTTGGTTCTTGAAGTATCAACATTTGAGTCAACCCATTTAGCCCATGTGGAAAGCCCCTTATAATATGCTGTCAAACGATCCATGTCTTTGTACAGTTTTGTCCCATCACGAAAATAATCAAATCTGCACAACAAAAGCCATCCAATACATAAAACATCAGATCAAATACAACATCTCGGACAAACAAAAGTTATGTTAAATCTTAGTCGCCCATCCGCAATGGGCCATGAGCCATTGGTGCATCCTTGATCATTCACTATCATTTTGGGACTTATAGTGCATAAGTGGCTCACATCCATCCACAATTCATAGCTCATTAATTTCAACAGGTACTGTAAGCCGTTAATACATTGTACGACTCAGAATGTTTGAACGACTCATAGTCATTCCCACATTGCCCACTTGCTCGAGTGTAGTGAGCTGTTATTGAATTGTGGGAAACCAATGACTAATAATCACTTAAAATTCATGAATGACTAGCAGTCACTCATAATCCACTCACCGACTCCCATTATGCATAAACAACTTAATAGTCATTCAGGTTCATCAACGATCAACAATCACTTGCATTAGCAACTTAAAAAAAAAGGTAATGGGTTGAAACGTACGGCTGAGAATTGCCGGTGTGGGTCCACCAATGCCAAGAGTTGAAGATCAGGACGTCCATCCCTTTCCATGCATTTCCGGCGTTGATGGAGTTTAGGTTTAGCACACGGCCAACCTTTTCTCTGACTATATCTACAAGGTATGGTGTCCGGAACATAAACAAAGTCACTCCATAGTCCTGCACATAATAACACAATTATAATTGGGATTAAAATTAAAATTTGTATGCCTGGGACTCTGTAATAATTAAACCATTAATTAAATTAATTAAATCATAAAGGTGGTGATAATACTACAAGAAGCTACCCACATGCATGCTTTAATTAAATTTAAATAGTTCTCACGATCATATTATTTCAACAAGGACAAATTATAAATTAAATTTTTGAAACCCCATTGCAGAAAGATTATTGAACAAAGCGGTCCATTACAGGTTGGTTGGTTGTTCATCACAGCCTGTAAACCTTCATGGCTTTTAATGATCTACGTGGAAATTAAATAATAATGTAGAAGAACATGAACAAAAAAAATACAAGAACACGATGAAAATTGAAGTCCTCATATAATTTATTTTTGTGGTGGGAGATCCCTCCTCTTTCCGACTTTCAGTTCTTGGCCTAGTAATTCAAGGGTATGAAATTATGTCTAGTGTCTAGCGAGTTATCCAACTCAAACAAAATGTGCCCGGAGTTTCATCTGATTGCATTTTCTAGTTCACTTTTATGGTTTTCTATATGCTTTTTCTATTTAGGTAGTGATTTTCAAACTTTCGTTTTTTCCCTTTCCACTCTTGCCTTTGATTCTCTTTTGAGTTGCTTAATTTGAATGTTGGAGAAAAAAACGGAAGGAGTATGTGTAGAGAAATTGTCTGTACGAAAACCGTTTCCCTTTCTTTTTCTTTACCTAGTCATAAACCAAGGGGAAAAATATAAATTTTATAACTTAGAGGACAATGGAGGGGGGTAAACAAAGGAGGACAAAGTCTGTCTTTTAACTTTTTTGTCTTCCCCACCCAACCCCACAACAATCTTTTATTGGTATCACCTATAGTTTGTTACAACAAGAACAACCTCTACTAGCCCATGTCTTTTCACTCCTTGCCCACACTAAACCAACAAAACTTGCAACAAATTGTCATTGTAAATGTA